TGATACAATGTAAATACAAAATAAATAAATTAAGGGAAGAATAATAAAAGTAACATGTTATACCGCTGTGAAATGTTAAACAATTTAAGAAAAACAATATGCTTGAACAAAAATATCAGCCATTTGCAATTACTTTAAACACAGGTAAATGAAAATAATTTTGTTGTTAGGTATACGTGTACAGTTCAAATAGAGAAATGAAATATTTTAACAAAATAAATAATTTTGATGTTCATAGTACGAAGAAGTGAAAATTTATAGTAATGCCAAACACTTATCATAGCTGGTATATAGACCAGATATAACCCTGAATAACATTAAATAACAAAAAAGCATTACAATTAGTATCAACAGGTCAAATAAACAAGAAAGTACGATTTGAGAGTACTCGCAGTTACTGACAGCTAGTTAAAAGCCAAAAACAATTAATAATAAAAAATCATGCATCCGAGACTAAAATCAACTAAAACACATCCCAGGGATTTAGTGTTTTAACGTCATGGACAGTCAAAGAAGACATGACTTGTGCAATGCCAAAAATAAATGTATCGACAGGCAGTAGGATAGTTAGGAGTTAACCTCTTTATTGATCAAAATGGACGTGGGTGTGTCTTTATACATCCCGTTTGAAAAGAATACAAATTTAGTTATGTTTTAATTTGCTGATTACAAAATCGATATTAGTGCCAATGTAAACTATATTCAAAGATCTAATTACAACATTGGTAAGATAACCTTTACTAATAAGTTTGTTTAAAGGTTCGATGAGTTTACACGGATCACATAGTGATTTCTGCGCTTTAAGTACAATATTACCGTAAAATTTAGGATGTGAAATACCGTTTTTAATCAGTTTTCTACAGGTACAGCCAAATTTACTAATCATATCTTTGTATCTATGAAAGAATTTAGTAAAAGTTTTACGTAATTTATGGTAACGAAATCCCTGACTTAATAATTTACCAGTGATGCATTGATTACGTTCGTTAAAATCTATGACATCACTACACACACGGGCATAACGAACGAGTTGGGATATATAAACACCGTATGATGGAGCCAAAGGAACATCGTCGTCTTAAAAAGGAAAATTAACAATAGGGAATGAAAAGTCGTCTCTTTTGTCGTAAATTTTAGTATGGAGTTTTCCTTTAGAGATTGAAATGTCCAAATCTAGAAAAGGACAACTACTGCTGTTTATGTTAGATTTAGTTAAAGTTAGTTCTTTTGGGTAAATTTCGGTAGTATATTTAGAGAACTCTGGATTATTTAACGAAAAAATATCATCTAGATAACGGAAGGTGTTGTTGAATGTATCAACCAAATGTAACAATGACGTGTCTTTACTGAGTTTGGTCATAAACTGAGATTCATAGCAATACAGGAATAAATCTGCTATTAAAGGGGCGCAGTTAGTGCCCATAGGAATACCTACTACTTGTCGATACACTTTATTGCCGAAAAGTACATATATGTTGTCCAGAGAAAATTTAAAGCTTCAATCATATCTTCACATTTCCAGTAAGTGTATCTAGCATACTTTCCTTTTTCGTTACAGAAAAAGCTTTAAACGAGTTACAACAAATAAATTTGTAATGAGATTGTTCAAAATCCATTTAATTAAATATGAAAACTTTTTCTTGATAAGATTGTGTGTGGAAGTGTAGTATAGAGAGTAGAAAAATCATAACTGTCAACAGAATTGAAAGGACCATCAAAAGCATGTATTTTATCTAAAACCTCTAAAGAATTTTTAACACTCCAAAAATAATTAATACCATTATTTTCATAAGCTTTATTACAAAAGTTAATAACAAGTTCTTTGATAGTAGTAAGGGAGGTAGTTAGAAACACTATTAGATTGGTAGTAGAACACTTACTAGATGCGGAGATGAAACGGAATTTAAATGTTTTATTATGCAATTTAGGTAACAATTACATAGTAGGGACTTTCAAATGTTCGGAAGAGGCTTTAAGCTGGGTAGTGGCAGTGATATGCTTGTTTACAATTTGACTCTCTGTGGAGCGTACGGAACCTGAATGTAGATGAATTTGTAATTTCGTTTTGGAGAACTTCCGTGTAGTAAATGCGTCACACCACCACTACATTATTTGCTGCTTTGTCTGCCGGTACGAACACAAACCGCTTTGCGAGTACTTGGAGTTTATTTTATATTCTAGAAATGGGAATATCATGGACCCTATTACTAATTTCAGAATTGTTTTCAAAATGAGATATACGAATATTAACAGTATTCATAATTTTATTCAAATAACTGTCTAGAGATTTTTTATCAGATTTTTCACGTTTACACCAATTTTTACAGTAGACAGACAGAGCGTCTTTATTGACCTGACGACACTGTTTCCAATATATTTTAGATGCATGACGATATTTCGGTCCTTTCTTAAGAAAAGTTATGACCTCACGGTCTTCGACGATGTTGAGGTCTCCTGTAAGGACATGACCATAGGGAACATATCTAACACTAGATGTTTCACAGTCTCAAGTGGAAGGAACATTATTTTCTATATTGACGTCTGATGTAACTGACGTATAATTAAAAATCAAACTTCTGCTGGTTTTTTTTTTATAAGAATACGAAATAATGGGTGGTTCTATATTATCAAAATATGGAGGTATTTGGCTTTGGATGGTAGAGTCATTGAATATACTAGATAAGTTAATAAAATCAATACCTCTATTTATATATTTTAATTTAAGAAAATGCCGTTTATGATTTTCGGGTTTATCGATACTAGGAAATAGCCTATGATGACAAAAGGCTGTAATAATACGGGTGTATTCATACATTGGGCTAAAAAAAGAAATTTTATCACACTCACGAAAAATAGCATATAATTTACTTATTGGTATCTGACCCAGTTTGCATAATACTTGATGTCTGCCATTATTTTTTATTATAGACAACAGATCAGCAAGTGTATAATTTATACGATGTTTAATACGTTGATTACGGTTTTTGCGTTTGCCATTAGACCTTTTATTTTTAAGTCGTTTATCGACAATATTAATGACATCGATTGAAGTTTTAGTTATGTTCCCCTGTCCTAATATTTTGTCATTAAGACCGAGAGGATAAGTGCTGTCATAAATTAGACCATTGGTTTTCTCGTTTGAATTGTTTCACATTTGCTCTTAATGTTGTGGCCTTTTAAAGATTACTATTTGATAAGCGTTTTGTTCATTGTTGAAGACGGACGACTGCTTCCTATTTACCGATACGCATGCATTCTTGCTAAGACTATATTAATTTGTTGAGATTTAAAAATCATATAAAGAAATTATTGTTATATTATTGTTGAACCTAAATGAATCATAATCTAACCAGTGAGTAATGATTCAACCTTTAATGTTTTTTTTTAATTTATAATTTTAAAACGTACGAGAAAAAACATGCACATTCGACTTATTTCTACTGTGCAAGTTCATTCAATGCGTACTTCGTTAGTTTATTTTACGGTACCGTGCACGTTACTTTATGCGAAAAAATGGGGTATATTTAACTGGTCAATATCGCGAAATCGGTCATTCTATAAGAATATTTATGTATACCACAACAATGGAAAGAAAGCTGAGAAATATGATAAACAAATTGGCATGAATAAGACCGTTGGTATTTCTCGGTTTAATTGTTTCGCATTTTCCTTTGATGACATTGCCTTTTAAAAAGCTTATAAGGGTATAAAAAGTAGCCAATATATGGTACATATGTGTTGTTGGGTTAGTGCCTCCGACGTTCACATTACATTTACTTTTATTTGTATTGACCAATTATTCATTCAAAAATTGTCCTAGTTTATAAATGAGAAGATGTGGTATGATTTTAAAAGACTATGAATATGCTAAGTCCACGATGATATACTTGCGGATCAAGTGACGCCACGTTCTTCCTCGCGCGTGGATTGCCAATGCATGAGACCACTATCCACCAGTGACCAAATGAAGCGGATGTAAGCAAAAGTCTTCATCATACAAAAAGTAAAATAACAAAAATACCGAACTCCAAGGAAAATTCAAAACGGAAAGTCCTTTATCAAATGGCAAAATCAAAAGCTCAAACACACAAAACGAATGGAAAACAACTGTCATACCGAAAGTAAGCCTTAAAAGGTCATGGCATGAAGAAAATACAAATAAGAAAAAGCAACGGTCTTATTTATGTTAAGTTGAATGTCGTATTTATTTATTTAGCTTTCTTTCCATTGTGGTGATATACACAAATCTTCTTCTAGAAGGATCGATTTCGTGATTGACCTGTAAAATATGCCACATTTTGATCATGAAATAACTTGCACCGTACGCATAGAATAAAGTAGCAAACTACACATTGAATAAACTTGCACATTAAAACATAAAATGAATTTCCATGTTTCGCCATTAGTGGACTAGCATGTTATGAATAAGCATAAATGTTTATATGCTACTGTGTAGATATTTATATGTCTGGGTTAGAACTTTTCGAATCTTGGTAATACAGTATTTAGTACCATTAATACATCTTTAAGTTACGTAAATCAACTCCTCTGTTATTGTTCATAAATATATAGTAACAAATATATTGGAGTTTTACCCAAATCTCTTTATATAGACTATTAACATGGGAAACTTAACCAATATCTTTGGTAATCAGTATTCCATAGATGACTGATTGTTGGTTGCTAAACGTCCAGTGGCAAATATTTCATGCATGTTCAGGACGAGGGTATTCCATAGAACATCCGTCTCTACGCTTAATTAGAACAATCTAGTGTTGTTGTTTTTTTATCATGTAAAGTACTTTCCTTGGTATTTTCAAACACTTTGTACCTTAGAAATTATGACGTCTTGAAAGGCTATTGAAGGCGTCAAAGAAAAAAAAGAAAATAGCCTTTCAAGACGTCATAATTATTTGGACTAGTCAAAGACCACAAGATTTACAGGTATACATATATTAATTTTGACTTTATTTTAATGAATTAGTTTTTAAAATATTTACCCGATAAAAGTCCCAGTGTCAAAAATGTCCAGTTAATATTGGGAACAAGCGCTGTTGTAACGAGACCAATGGTAAGTATCAGAGAACCTACCATCATTGATATTCTACAGTTAAATCTGTTAATTAAAACACCGGTCAATGGACCTAAAAGAACAATAATAGTTCACAAGACACATTGATTTTAATGTAAATATTTAATATTTAACGTCAATTGGTCTCCAGTGAAAAGTTGTCATATGGGCAATCGTATAAACACAAGGAGATGTGGTATGATTGCCAATGAGACAACTATCCACCAAAGTTCAAATGAAGTGGATGTAAGCAGTTATAGGCGACCGTATGGTCTTCAAGAATGAGAAAAACCCATACCGTAGTCTTCAAGAATGAGAAAAACCCATACCGTATAGTCTTCAAGAATGAGAAAAACCCATACCGTATACCACGTCTCCTAATTTTTATAAAGGCAAAAACGTAATAGTTCTCATTATACTGTTTAGTCTGATTAGACATTTTATCGGTTCTTCATTTGTCATTAGTTTCGGAGGTTTATTCTTATTTTTTTTATTCTTACTATTTCTACAAAGTTTCGGAATATAAAAACTACACAGATTCGTAACAGGTGTATTTGAGTTGTCCCCCTTTCTCCATAAAAATGTGTAAATGCCACTGAAAAAAGACAGCATTTGCTTAAGCTAAATAGCACGTGATATAACCTACTGATACATGTAGCAATTAAAAAAAAACCAAACAAAAACACTCTCATCCAAATATTTACCTGCTAATGATATTAAGGCCAAAAACAAAGCACTGAACCATGACGTTTTCAACAAACTATCATCGAAGGTCTCCAACAGCACTATATGTACCATACCACTAGCCCATTGGAAATAACCACTTATACAGTGTGCAAAAAACGAGGAAGCAGCTACTACCCATGCCCAGCCACGGTCTGGCTTTGTCATAGCTTAAATGTGTATTTGAAGAAACTTCACTATCCAATCTTAAATCATTTCTAAAATCTATATTTTATCTATAGAGAAATAGGGTACGAGTCTTCCATGATTTCTTCTTTAATAACCAAATATGCTCATATCCTATCGGTTTACAGTCGTTACACATCCTAATAGTTTTCACGCACACATCCTAATAGTTTTCACGCACACATCCTAATAGTTTTCACGCACACATACCAGCGTATTTGTGTGTTTTTATATCAAACTAAATACAATATTCCATAAGGTTATATCTCACACGTATATTGTTCTAATTATCGAAACATTTTGAGAATTTTTCACATAGAATTAGTCCTTGAAACTTTACGGATTTAAATATTTTACCTCGTCACGTAAATATTGACATATACATTAGAAATGTGATGAAGTATGTTGATTTAAAACATATCCGTCATGCTATCAAATTAAATGCATTAATTATATATATCCAAGGTCATGAATTCGTTCATTCGTGCGTCACACTGTGTGCTCACATTTCTTCAATAAAACGACAATAAAAATACTACATCGATACATTTATATAATGCAATCGTTCAGAGAAACAGAGAAAGCATTTAACAAAATTAAACGGATTACATATCATTTCAGGATTCAAAAATATATATCTATATGCACAGAATTAAAAAGAACTAAAATGGCAGCACCTGTCAAAATATGTGTAAAGATTTGTAATGGATTACTTAATGCTATGAATACATATTTATTGCACAAAAACATTATTTAAAATTTCTATTGTTAAATAGTTCGTGAAATTGTCTAAAATCTTGTATAGAGAGTAATGGGTCAAATAAATACAGAGATCAGAAAAATGGCGTCAAATTTAAAGGTAACAGAAACGAACAGTCCAATCCAGACCCTAATAATTGGAAATTGCTGAACTGTGTGACGACGATCACATACATTGTACCTGCCCGTGTTTCCAAGATTTCGATCTTTAAGTCTAATAGACTTATTTTATGGACGCCAGGAGAGAATAACTGTTCGTGTTTTATATATAAAATAAGGAGATGTGGTATGATACCCAAAATGAGACAACTACCCAACACAGTAAATAACCCACTCTCCTCAGAGCTAAAGGGTCGTTACTTTATAGGTCATCGTACGCCCATCAACGATGAGCAAAACCCATACCGACATGACAAACTGTGAAATAATTCAAACGAAAAAACCTATAGCCTTTTTCATAACAGTTTTCCACGAAATTAATTTTGGATCTGAGGTCATGTATCAAACGACAAGAAAACAAAATTACAAACAAAAATGTATCATTTGTAATACATCACAGTTCCTAAAGTACGCAGGCTTTTTTGTTGCAGAAAAGGGGAGCAGAAAAGGTTGCATTCGCTTAAATTACTTACAATATTTTCATGGGACGTGTTAAAATGTTTTTCTTGTGTACACATCCCTAGAAATGTCACAACATTCCATGAATTTGTATTCCCTAAAGTGAATTTACTTAAACTAATTCTTTTAGTAATATAACTTCCTGACATTTCGCTTTAAACCAATTTTTTAGTTTGATAATTGAATCCGAAATTTTAGCATGGTAATTTGTATCTTAAGTTGCACAGACGCTTGGGTACAGGATTTGAATTTTTTACCCCCTTTTTGCAATGAATATTTATGACTACGATTTCAATATACGGAATAAGAAGTTTTCAAAAGTGGTGAATGGAGAGAACACGGATAAAGATGACACGTTGAATAGGGGCAGAAAGAAGGAGGTTTGATAATAGAGATTTTTCGTTCCATGAAATTGCAAAGGTAAAGTGTCTTATTTCTTTTAAAACCGTGTTAATTTCATTGATTACAGAAAAGGATGATATATATTTTGCCAATGCTGTTTTGCCTACGTCATAAACATTTTGAAATTGGAATATTTTGTGCAAGATGACATTTACGCACACCTAGATCGCTGTGTAAGACACATGTAGCAGATAAAAAACATATTTATAAAAGTATTTGAAAATGAGGCTAAATAAGCAGTTACTCGGTGTTTTATTTTACTGAAAAGAAATTTACAGGAATAGTGAAATATGCAAGGCAAAATTTTAAACTTTAAATACCGGTATCTGACTAATGTCTTGTGAACATCTGAAGGATTTTTTCTGATAAAATGATAATAATTTAATGTTTTAGAATGCAGGGAACCCATAATAGTATTATCATATCATTTACGTTTTCCTTGCAAGAGGCCAACCACGGACCCTTTAAGAGTCGCTGCAAGGTGCAATATTTCCTGAAACGATTTCACACAATAAAGACATTATATCGTTAATACATGTACTTTACTAAATTCTTCCATAGATACACAGATTTGGCTTTACCTTTTTAAAAACTTATTTCAAACGGGATAGCGCATCCTATTTTTTACGAAGATGTTGTTTACCGAGCCCGGAAATTTAGATACGATCCAGGTAAACTAATCGATCCTTTAAATAAACTTATTCTAAAAGGTTACCAATTCAACACTGTAGTCAGATCATTAAATATTGTTTTATTGGTACAGATATTGATTTTTTTATCAGTAAATTAAAACCAAACTAATATTATATATAGAATCATGTGCATAACAGTGTAGCCGAGACCATTGATTGGCGCGCAAAAATATCCCATTGACTGGGTCAGATTAGGTGAACGTTCGTCTGTAACGCCCAAAACTCACGACGTATTTATTATAGACATTTAAACTGTGAGGTCACCAAAGGGTCTCAACGCCTAAATAAAATAATTCGAAAAACTAATCAGGAATAACCTTTGTGTTTTGATTTATATTGAATACTTACACTGAACTGCGGTCAAGCTTAGCGAAAGGTCGTGCAACATAATCAGTCAAACAAACTTTATTAGATTAACTCGTTAAGGAACGATCGTTTTCATTGGTCAATTCAAACCTTCGACCTCACACCTGCGAAAATAGAACACGCGTACTATAAAGCTGAATGGACTGATCAGTATTCACGTAGCCGGTCAAGGTCGTTAAAAACTTCCATCGTCGTATTCCCGAACATGATTGTGTTCTTGATTATTGATGACAATTCTAGCTTTTATACATGTGCATGTAAAATTTTAAACTTTAATCTTAACAGTCACGTCGAAATATTTAATTCAACAGTCTCCTCTCAATTGGTCCTGGATTAAGGGAGCTACCATTTTATTTTGATTGGGGGTGAAGGACTTGGATGAAACATTTTGTCCTTCATTTTTTTTAGTTGTTATCTCTGTCCTGTCTTTCTATTTTTCAGTCTGTTAGGTCCTGACTATATTTATTCGTTTATCCTGATTTTTTACATAAATCGTCATCCTGCCTTTTTTTTTTGTCAAGTTGCTCACCCTGCCTTATCTTTTATTCAATGGACTTGATGAATTAACGTTGTACTTGAAATGAAACCGTACTTAACTACAAAAATAACCAAATTACATACTAAAGATATTGCTCGATTTTTATAGTAAATGGGTTTGTGTTATAAACTGTCATGTTCATTATTCATATTCTTTCATAAGTTTTAGGATAGTGTGATTTTTTTTCTGATTTAGTTTACTTGATTTTGAAAAAAAAAATCCCGAAATTCTAAGTAAATTCAGAACATGTAACCAGCCATGCTTTGTTTAGAGAAAAAATGGAGATGGCAAACCATGGCACAGTGGAAGGAAATGTACTTTATAAACTCCAGCGATATACTTTCTTAATTTATAATTAACTGTTTTGCTATCCTCGGTTGAAAATTATATATTGTAAATATTTAAATAGTTGCATAGAAAACAATCAGTTTTAAACAGTGTGGTTATTCACTAAATGTATTGATAAAAGGTGACTCCATTTTTGTACATACTTTTACAGTAGTCATCCTTAATTTCTTAATATTTCGTTTATAAGTTTATCATACATGTATGATTTTGTATTTCATTTTAAGACGCACGCATGCCACACGTTACTTTGGCGGATTGTTCAACAATGTTATGCAAAGCTCTATTCTTACGGTATGAAATTAAAGGATACATTTTCAACCAATCAAAATCGAAAACAGTACATTTATATAGTTCCTTATAAACTACGACATTTCTCACAAGTATTTATTTATTTTTTAGTTCCACACATGCAAAAATAAAATCTTCGCCGATGAAACATTTCAAACCTTTTTACACCAACATGCCTTCACTGAATTCATTTGAATTTCGTGGTGACCATGATAGTACATCTATATTCACGTGCACACATGGTACGATCTTTCGGGGACAATTTGCTCGTTTATGACACGTCATTTCTGAAGAACAAACGCTTAGCTTCTTTATTTTCGTTTTATAGCATGAAAACAATAAAAGAGGAATGTGCAACCCATCATAAATTTGAAATGGATCAGTATTATGAGATCCTTATTATAAGTAACTACGACATTGTCTGGATAATAACCTAGCGTCAATATGAAAGAAATTAAAGTGGTTCATACATTCATCCGTATAAAAGCGGCACATGTATTTTATTTTATCCTTATATTTTTCATAGTGCGGTACAAGTGCTGCATGCATAAAGAATATTACTTAACACAAATTATTAGTATAATATTTCGACCCCACTATTTGAAATTCACAAAATACTTATTTAATTATTTCGACCAAAAATCATTGTTTTTTACGTTCGTAGTAACGTAGTACATTCCATTGTCGGTCACCTGTGTCAATTCACGTGCACACAACAATTGTTGTTGTATTTAAATCTTTCGGCCAATGAAGTGAGACGTTACAAGTTGTTTGTTTGTGATACGCCAGAATGTTATCAATGAATTATCAATCGCTAAACTTGACTGCATTTCAGTGTAAACGTTCTTTACTTGTGTTTTCGTTATGTTTTGATAATCAATTTTTATGACATCGCACGTTCTTTCAACAAAAAAAAAAGGATTTAACTGGCTTTAAAAGTTACAATGTATGTGTTGATTATTATCTTTTTTTTCGGACGTCAAAGCGATTTAACAATTGCGGTTGCATGTCCAATTATGTCATCTTTTAACTTTTATCTGGTCAAAATTTTATTTTAGAACGAATGCATGATCAACTTTAAAAAGTATGCGTACACAAAACATATAGACAAAATATACTTCTGTCCTGTCTTTTTCGTACTTGCAAGTTATTAGACAATAAAAAGGCTATTTGGATCAAGCCTAGTGGAATTTGCATTTACGTTTTTGAATAGGTAAAATGTATAGTTTGGTGAACTTTTCTGCTAACTACTATACTTGTGAAAAACCCTTGGCAACAGAAACATTTTCAGCTTTTTTTTTAATCGACCCAATTTACATAGTAATGGACGACTTCGTACATTTTATGATCGCAAATAAAATATGTATATAATATACTGTGCACTGTAGTTCGTATATATACTGAAACCCTTTGGCAACCCCATAGTTTAAATGTTTATAATAAATACGTCGTGAGTTGTGGGCGTTACAGACGAACGTTCACCTAATCTGACCCAGTCAATGGGATATTTTAGCGCGCCAATCAATGGTCTCGCCTACACTGTTTTGCACATGATTCTATATATATATATATATATATATATATATAATAAGTCTTAATTGAAAACAACGTTCA